ACCTTCGTTGGTATAGTTACGGTTGAAAGCATGAGCTGCACAATGTGCCCTAGTCGGATTAGCAGTTACCAAAATCTGACTGTATTATACAACTCTTATGGCTTGTTCTGTCACTCGAAAGCATACAAATATACCTAAGCGGAATCACGCACGCAGTATGCCCAGGCACATAATCTAACCGTATCATTTCTGTTCCTTGTACGTTATCCATCTTTTGATTGCGTCACCGGCGTTCCATCCGAACATTCACCTGTTTCTCTTCATTTAAGTGAATTTAGTTTCTCACCCCAAAATCTAAACCACTATCAAGGTTGCACCGGACTATCGTTTCTTTTGCACGCTAGTGAAAACCTTTTTCGAATAAAAATAAAATTTTAATTTTCACCGGTAACCGAATTACACAGATAAACATGTGATGCAAACATTGTTTAGGAATTAAACGATGTGAAGTAAACCGAAGCCACATTTTGTTCATACGGCACATCAGATGACCTAGCTGAGTTCGCAAAATATCGATTTTTCGGATTGAAATTTTCTGATCATTTTCAAATAGTAGTGAAATTAGTTTACGATCATTTTTTCCAAAGTGCTTCAATCTGATTCGCGCTTTCTGTGAACACGATTGTTTCAATTTCTTTTCCGTAGCCATTCATCCCCCTCAACTTGCCGTCACTGTTGTGAATCATCGAATCAGAAGCATAACACACGAAATAGGCCCGTCTTGCGTTCACAACATGCAGAGTTCACAGGTCACAGAAAAAATACAACAATTGGACTGCAGGATATTCAATAACCTGCTGGCCAAACGTTTTCGCCTACCGAGGGAATCAAAACGTGCGGCACAAATAATCTTCGCGGATGATGATGCATTCCCATTCTTGTGTCTCTGTGTTTGTGCGCGTTTGCTCTTTGGATGAAATCACACCTATACGGAGCAACACGCTGTGGCTCGTGATGCANNNTGATGGGGTCACCTTGTTGTGCGTATCGATTGGTGAACAGCTAAATCAAAAATGGAATATCTAGTGTAACTGACATCACAAGAATTCAGTCAAACTATTTCACAGAATGACACCCGGTGATCATGTTTTCACCATTACGTCGTGCATAGTAAGGCGGGAAACAGTGAAGGATATAACGAAAATCAGACATCGCTTACAGTGATAGATAGCCGTTTCGGTTTGTATTGTCTTATTTTGTACCACAATGCACCAGTGGGTTGAATTTTCTGGAAAAACCAAGTCATAAATTAGACTCATTATTCTCGAGCGGGAGGGGTGGAGGCGGAAGCTTGTTCATCAGCTAAGGTGGCAGACGTTTTGTTCGAATTCCAGTCCGTTAGTTTCAAGAAAATCTAGTACTGGTTACTTGACATTTCTGTACACTTTGTTGCAATAGCTACCTCCCACATTGGTTAGATATTTTTGTCTAATTTATGAATACGAATACACTCGCGACTTAATGGGTCGGAATGCATTACCAAGTTCATCGGTCCACAGAATCTGATCAACGAATAAGTCAAACAATCCCCGTAGGTAAACCCTGTTGGTTTCATAACTGCATGGCAGGCAAGTAAAAAGGGGACCTAAACCTTCAGGTAAAAACTATATGTATTGCTCAGTTTGTATGTGTGTGTGTAACCAATGCTTAATTTAGCCTTTCAACTTGGTCAATCAGAGAAAAGATCAATAATAATAATAATAAAAGTAATAATGATGATAGTAATAGTAGTACTACCCAGAGCGTGTGGCGTGCACGCAAAACTAAAAAGCGAAACTGCTCACACAACCCCAAGAAACCCGAGAATATCCGATCATAATTATTCAGCAATATGAGTCAGCTGTTTGATGCACTGGTCGGTTTATTCAAAGTCAAAAGCACACTGAAGCCAATCAAAATATATCCAAATAATTCGGGTTCCCAAAATCTAAAATCGCTACGGACCCCTATTCGGAAAACCATCGTGATGAAGATACATAGCAGATAAAAGTATTCTTCAGCCGCATTCGTATATTCTTTCTGGGGAAAGATATCATAATATATTAGCTGCTGCCTGTACAAAGGGTCTTTCTGGTGGTTGTATGTATGAATGAAACTGACAGGAATACAGTCAATGATTTCACTTCGACGATTTTCGGTTGATGAGGTTTCCGGTTTATCACGTATGAGATCTGAAATACTAAGCAATATCTTTGGAAACACGTCGGATACCGTTTATCAGACTAAATGTCTTTTATTTAGGTAATAATTCAGCTTTTTGTTCCATAGAAGCCTGTTTTCCTTCCAGTTTGTTCTAACATATGTTACGGATTTTAAACTGGAATTTCCATTCGAATAGCGGTTGCTCAAATCGAGTGATGAGAGGCAAAAGCGGTTTTTAAAATGCTCAGCGCAATAAGGGGTAAACGCGAGAGGGCACCGGAAGAACGAGGAGGCTGATAATTGTTAGCCAGTAGAATTTACCGATTTCACCTTCAAGTAAGTTTGAAAACATCTGGGATGTCAGGTCACAACGGCAATGTGTTTGGAACCAGGTGATTCAGTCACCGGAAAGGTCCGAAACCGGGGCCGGATTCCAAGTCACAGACTAATGATAAACTGAGAAGGAAGACTGGGATATTTTGGTCCTTTTATTTCACCAACCGTTTTTCTTATGACCAGAAAAGATATGCAATATGTTTCTCTGTGAAACAAATTTTAAACGAGCAAACATTCACAATGCTTTTCGGAATAACCATGCAACTATTTAATCCGGTTCCCTATCCTCGGGTTATCAAATTCTAAATATATTCAATAATCCGACAACTAAAACCAGTCTTGGAAGGTAAGCGACCATTGTGATAAAAAGTATTCCATGGTTCATGTGGCCTGTAACACTTGCTCTCATTTTTCCATTATTTTTTGGTGAAATGTGGTCGGCATTGCGGATGCAAGCAAGCACACACACACGGTAAAACTACTGGCTACACTCGTTTATCAGACTCAACTAGCTTAGTCCATACCCCTTCCCCTCATCCATGAACACGGTTCTTATAAAATAACCAACCTTGACGGTACCGAGTAGGGATCAGATTTGCACATATGCAGCAGTTCGTGATGCACTCTCTTTTTCTACATGAATAAGTCTAACGTGGCAGGTTGCGCCAGGTGAAAGTGCCAAGTTTATACCCTGTTCTCCTTATTCTAATCATACTCAGGCATTGAGGGGGTGGAGTGGAATGAAACACTTGGTTCTGGTGCCTCGTTCAGATAGTTTAAACAACTCATGCAAATTTTTGTCTCCAGTGGGTAATTTAATCAGTTTATTTCCCTCACTTTTAGCCAACAAGCGGGTGACCAGTTGGTTGCGTTATCCTGGCTGTCATTGAGATCTGAGACTAAGCTTTCAGTTTTGACTATAGAATGTGAAGACATCAATCGATGAAACTAGACAGAGAGCAAAGTCTTTCTGTTAACCTGACCGTTTAAATTCAATAACACAC